CAGTCAGTCAGTAGCATTAGATTCCTAGGGGTGCAGTTATCGAATAGTCTGACCTGGTCCCTTAACACCGCATTTTTGGTAAAACAAGCACAGCACCGTTTGCATTTTTTGTGCCAGATGAGGAAAGTACATCTCTCATCTTCCATTCTCCTTACTTTCTATAAAGGCACTATAGAGAGTTTACACACTAACTGTATTTCCATCTGGTATGGAGGCTGCCTTAGACAGAAAGTCTGTGCAGAGGGTAGTAAGGACAGCAGAGAAGATAACTGGGATCTCTCTGCCTCTCATCCAAGACCTAGCATATGCATGCTGTTTGTCTAGAGCTCAAAAGATCGTCGGTGATGCCTCCCATCCTCATCATGGCCTGTTTCCTTTGTTACCCTCTGGGAAGAGGTTCCACTGTATCTGATGTAGAACAGCCAGACTGGGAAATAGCTTTGCCCCCCAGGCTATCAGATGTTTGAATGTTTAATGTCAAATGTGTATAGAATGTATATTTTATAGTAACTATGGTATCTCAATTGTATTTTAGTGTATGATTGTAAGCCAACTGCAACGGAATTTCATTTTATTATGCACTTGGTATATAGTGTATAGTGGAATGACAATAAAATTATTCTATTCTATTCTTATTCTATTCTATATCATTTAATGTTTAATCACATTACCTCTCTGAGATCATGGTATGATTATATAATCACATTTCCATGCCCTTGTTCTACAAGGTTAAGACACAGAATTCTTTCCTTGTATTTACTGCATTGCATTTATTTGTAGCTGCCAGAGTATGTGGTACAATTATAGAACAAATCAGAACAAAATTTGTTCATTATATCAATTAGCATAAATTTTCACATCCAGTGATTCATATTCAATCAGTAAATGATCCAAATGTTCCTTTCTCCCTGATTAATATCCTTTATCACACTTTTGGCAATTCTGTAGCATAACTAAAATGGTATTATATATTTAAGCTTATAAAAGTCAGAAGAGTCTTAATAACAAAAAGAATCCATGATACTATTCTTATATAGTGTTAAAGATGCATTTCTTTCTCATGTTGTTTCTTGCCTAATTTCTTAGGAACTCAGTATCTTACAGACATAATTTATAATGTACTTTAGCATGCTCTTCAGAATGGCAATTATAAAAAATGCATGATTTAAAAAAAAAATTGTATTTTTTCAGTATTATATTTCTAGTATTACTTTGTATATATCACACTTTATGTTAAATCTTTAAATTTTATAATAATTTATAACATATAGTAGAGTATGTATTTTGTATGTTGTGTGATGCTTAAGCTCGAAGAAAAAACCTTTTTTGAACTATATGAAAAAGTGCTGCCAGCTGAAGTTAAAAATATTGTGTTAGACCATAACTGTTTACCAGGTATGCTCCCAATAAGGCTGATAAATCTATGACTAACAGTCTTTCAATTCTTTGAACTACAAACTGGTCAACCACATTAGGTTACTGTAATATCTTGTGCAAATCCATCATGTGGTTGATTTATGGTTTAGTGTTTCCTAAGATTGCTGACTATCAGATGTAAGTTTTGAGAGAAAAACATGGACAGGGAAGGTTACTGAACGGTGATTTAAAACATCATGTAGGATCCACTTACATAATAATACTAGAAGAAACTGCCAAAGAGAATATAGGAGAAATAATTATAAGACAAGAAGGATATCTCTGATCATACCTCCATTTCACATAATTTCCACTTATAAATTAAACAACCCAAGCAAACCATTTGAAGCTCAATATATTTCTGTTTAGAAATACAATCATCTTCCTACAGTAGGTATGGGCATATTTGCAGCCAGTATTGCTCTGACTTTAGGAATCCAGTCTCCAAAAGGAAAAATTGTTCTATTGGGAAAGACCATAAATTTACAGGTTCTAAAGTACTACTATTTTCAGTCAACAATTTAGAGCAGTGTAAAAGCTATGCTACACCCTAAAAGAGTAGTAGTTTCTTTCTTATTGAAAACATGTTTTTAACAGCTATATTTTTTTTAAAGGGAGAAATGAATAGCTCCAGCTCACCTTCTGTCCTGCCAGTATAAGACAATTCTGGTAGAACAGGACAGATCCTTTATCTCTTCTTCCTCCTTTGATTAGTTTAATCAAAGGAGGAAGAAGTTGAGTTAGAATAATCTTGTATAAACCACAGGAAACTGTGGTTATCATCTCTAAAGCAGACTGGAATAGATTACTTTATCATTTATCAAAAATTTCTGATTATTAGATAGCCATTTAATTCTATTATATATACAGTACTGTGCAAAAGTTTTAGGCAGGTGTGAAAAAATGCTGTAAAGTAAGAATGCTTTCAAAAATATATATTGTAATTGTTTATCAGTTTACAAAATGAGCAAACAGTAGAGAAATCTAAATCAAATCGTATTTGGTGTGACCACCTTTTGCCTTCAAAACAGCATCAGTTCTTCTAGGCACACTTGCACACAGTTTTTGAAGGAACTCGGCAGGTAGGTTGTTCCAAACATCTTGGAGAACTAACCACAGATCTCCTGTGGATGTAGGCTGCCTCAAATCCTTCTGTCTCTTCATGTAATCCCAGACAAACTTGATGATGTTGAGATCAGGGCTCTGTGGGGCCCAAACCATCACTTCCAGGACCCCTTGTTCTTCTTTACACTGAAGATAGTTCTTAATGACATTGGCTGTATGTTTGGGGTTGTTGTTCTGCTGCAGAATCAACTCTGGGCTAATCACACGCCTCCCTGATGGTATGGCATGATGGATAAGTATCTGCCTGTGTTTCTCAGCGACCATTGATCCTGACCAAATCTCCAACTCCATTTGCAGGAATGCAGCCCCAAACCTGCAAGGAACCTCCACCATGCTTCACTGTTGCCTGCAGACACTCCTTATTGTACCACTCTCCAGC